CAATCTGAAATCTGATACAAAGATCCTGGAAAAGGCAACTCCTTCAGAGAAAGGAAAGCAAAACCAGACATACTCTTCTTGAATTGTGTCCAGCTCAAGAAAGGGGAATAAGATACTTTCCCCTTTGGAAGAGCCACCCAAGAGGATTCATCATGGGGCACTTAGGGTAATTAGGGCTCAGTTAGACAATGCACTGTTGGTTGGTGAAATCAAGAAGGGTCCTGTTCAGGCAGAGAAGCAGTTGAACTGCATAACCTGGTTATTTATTTCTATCTTTTGCTCTGTAATAACACAGAGAAACCTGTTTTATGGGTAATTAGACTTTTCCTGGCTCCTCTTGGCTGATGGCAACTCAGATAATCAAGAATCTGAAATTAGCGACTTTGGAAAGACTGTTGGCCATGCGGGTTGAAATCTACTTAGACAGATGAAGAAGTAAACCTAGATTTCTCACATCTCCTTGTAGTGACAAAAAAAAAAAAAAGGAAAAAGCCTTCTACAGGTAAATAATTCCACTACTGAGATATGGAGAAACTTTTAACTATTCTTCCAGAATGGTGATTTAGTCCCTAAGCTGGAGAAAAAAAATTAGGCCTATATTTAGAAAGCCAGCATTTGTACAGACCTACAGATACTGATCTTGCATAAATGTAGAAGTAAATGAACCAAGATATGAGAAAAATACATAGTGCCTATCTGAGATCAGGAGATGGGGAGTCTAAAAGTGATTAAATTTGCTCTGGGAGTCTAAATATATTAGGTCGAACATCAGTATCTCAAAGTAAGCAGGGGCAGGATAAAAAGACAAGTAGCAAAGTTTAAATCTAAATTTCTTCCATATAAATTTATTGTAACTGGATTTTGCTGGTGTGCTCTATGTATTTAAAAAATAAGGAACAGGTTACTTAAAAGTACAGTTGCATAATCTGTAATCTGCCTGTTTTCAAATGAATTATGATTTCTTCCCTAACCAATTTTCCTGAAGTCAGAGGTATTAGATGCAGGCTAAATTCTTCCTTTATATCAAACACAGGGGTGCCACTAGCAGTTTTCATAGGGAAAAATGACACTTCAAAACACTAAAGTAAGACCATAAAACTGACACTTTCATATGCTTCTCCAGAAAAGACAAATGCAATGTTTATGGCCTAGACTATTTGACAGTCTTACAGTCTTTCCCACTGCAATTACTGTCTGCTCTAATATGAATACCCTGGCACAGCCAAATTTTAGTGGAAGAATAGACAGAAGTAGGATGCGGCCTGGTGGCAAATCCTTTGCAGTAAAACTTTGCTGAGAGTGGTGGTCATCTGGGTGTTATTCTGGAATCCATAGGCCAGATGCTGAGCTGCATTTCATGGCAAACTAACCACCTTGGGCAAGTCATTTAACTGCATTTCATCCAGAAATGGAGACAGGCTGGTTCACTTATTGCTGGGACTAGATGACATTTGGAAGAAAAAGGAGACATGTAAGGGTTGGCAATTCCCTTAACCAGCCTTTATGCTATGCTAGAAGAACTAATATGAATCAAAGCAAGCTGATGCTGCTATTATGGCTGATTATTAGGGAGTTTTGGAAAAGAACATCATCTGCATTCCAAATATTCATCAGAGGAAGGGCAATGGAGTAGTAAAGTGATAGGGTCTTCCACAGCATCATTTGGCAGCTCCAACAACAAAAAAGGGGAAAGAAGAATGATCAAGAGCTAATGCCTCCAAGTAATGGTAAAGAGAAGTGCATTTTGTTTTTTAAACCCAAAGTCCCCAAAGCATCTGATAAAAAACATATATGACTCTCAGCCCCTGACCCTACTGCTCCTTTCCAAAAAACAGAGCCAGGAATTTCTAACCAGTGGCACAGTCAATTTATACAAATTATACAGAGAGAGCAGGCATATACACCAAGGACAGCTATAGCTTGGGATCCTAGCAGTAATAAATACTTTATTCACCCAAGAAACTGTCATGCTTTGTTTCAGGAAGTTTTACACAAGGATATGCCTTTCACATGACTAATGCAAGAACAATGAAGGCAACACATGTTATGACTTAAACTACAGTTGTCCTTCTTAAGGGGAGGGGGGAAACCAAGTATATTCATGCAGAACAAAACCTGAGCATGTTGTTTGTCCAAGGCTTAACTTTACAGACAGCTAGGTCTGGTAAAATCCCTATTACCGATTACTTATAAATCAAAAGGCTTACTTAAGGGAAGTGAGGAAGGAAACTCTAAGATTGCAATGTGTATTGTTATTCATAAACACAAACAATTTTCTCAGGGTCTGAACACAGATATTAGCTGACCTGTGGTGACTATCTGGTTACCTACATTTGCCCACAGCAAATGTAAACTAATTGAGACCATTTGCTGCTTAGCCTAAGGCTAAGGTCTGTTACCTCCCTCTGCCACCAACCAGAAGCATTCAGCTAGCAATTACCAGGGCACAGCTGCAATATTGCAGCTTGCTAACCTGGGGTGACAGCATCACCAATGGCATGGAAAAAGCAAATCTGGATTACTTGTGCAAGAAGGTAAGGGCACCAAAACTGCATGTAGGAGCCTTGTGCAAGATAAACCATGGAACATTGCAGATACCAAGTGTCTATTTGAGAGCCTGGAAAAGCACTTGGATGAGAAAATCCATGGAAAGTTACTTAACAGACAAAAATGACATCCAGCTCAATGAATCCCTTGAGCTACAAATAGTGGGATGCTGAGGGCTGGGGAAGGATTATATCTACTTGCTCAGTTCTTTCTCTTCCTCAGGCATCTAATTATGGCTGCTGGTGGAAACAGCCACTGGCCTTGATAGACCCTTGATCAGCAGCTCTGCGGGGAAAGACCTGGGTGTCATGGTGGATGATAAGTTGACCATGAGGCAGCAGTGTGCCCTCGTGGCCAAGAAGGCCAATGGGATCCTGGGCTGCATTAAGAAGAGCATCTCTAGCAGGTCGAGGGAGGTGATCCTGCCCCTCTACTCAGCCCTGGTGAGGCCGCATCTGGAGTATTGTGTCCAGTTCTGGGCTCCACAGTACAAGAGGGATGTGGAGCTGCTGGAGAGAGTCCAGCGCAGGGCTACAAGGATGATCAGGGGCCTGGAACATCTGCCCTATGAGGAGAGGCTGAGTGAGCTGGGCCTGTTCAGCCTGGAGAAGAGAAGGCTGAGAGGGGATCTAATCAGTGTATATAAATACCACAAGGGAGGGGGGGCAGAGGAGGGGGATGGTCTCTTTTCAGTGGTGGCCACTGATAGGACTAGAGGAAATGGCCGGAAACTGAAACATCAAAAATTCCATAGGAACTTAAGGAAAAATTTCTTAACAGTGAGGGTGACAGAGCACTGGAACAGGCTGCCCAGAGAGGTTGTGGAGTCTCCTTCTCTGGAGATCTTCAAAACCCGCTTGGATGCAGTCCTGTGCCACGTGCTTTAGGTGTCCCTGCGTATGCAGGGGGGTTGGACTAGATGATCTCTAGAGGTCCCTTCCAACCCTAAGCATTCTATGATTCTATGATTCTATTCCTACATTCCATCCTTTCCCCGTGCCAGAGCCCTAAGCATCAGCTCTGAATTTGATGGGTAGGTTTCATTCGGTTAGCGTGACCCAGTGCTCCTAAGGAGGTCCTGCGGTCTCCTAAGGAAAATGTTCTCTTCCTAGCACTTTGAGTTGCTAATAGATTTGAAAACGAACATGCAACTTGCTGGTCTTGGAATGACATCCAAACCTCACTTGCAGAGATGCCTTTTTGCTGAACTAAAACTCTAGTGGATATTTGGTAGCACTTTTTTCACTTCTGCATCCTAAATCCAGATTCAAAGAATAAGGACTTAGGCAACTAAAACCAAAATGAGGCAAAATCAGCCCCCTAACTGCATTCAGTATCAGCTATATGACTAGAAGCCACAGAGTTTAACTGACTAAATTGTCCTATCTTGTAAGAATGGAAAAAATGTGGGCCCAAAGCTTGCAGTGACTTGGAATAACAAAGCCAGGCTGGATGGTCATATTTCCATCATTTTACAATAGAGACAGAGATATATCACCATCTTGCACGTGAGACAGCAATACTCTTTGAGCTGCAATCCGCCCCACCTGCCACAACGTGCAGTGTCAAGAAGAGGATTGTTGGGAAATGTCTACACTGCAGGAAAAGCTCAAACTCAAGCCATCTGCCCCAGCATGGACAGCAGCCCAGTCAGAGAAGGACTGGGAAGTCCT